CCTGCCATTCCCAAGCAACGGCACTGGAAAGGAACAAGAAATCTTCACGTATCAGTCGCTGCTGGCGTATACGGTTCTCCTGAGAAACCTGTCACCACAAGAACAGCAGAGCATCAGAACATACAGGAGCTATGGAAACTCCGCGGAGCTCGCATGGCACCATCTCAAGTGCCTTTACCAAGCAAACGACAGCGTGACACAAAGCAGACTCATGCAACAACTGACAACAATACAGATGAAGACCGGGGAAAAGGCGATGCAGTATATGAGTCGCTGCCAGACCCTCCGCGATCGCCTGCTTCGGTGCGGAGGAACAATCACTGAAGAAAGCTTCGTAACACTTGTCCTCGCCGGGCTCGGGCCAGAATGGAGAACCACACGATCGCTTCTTCGCGCCCACGGAAGGATTTCGGAGATGCACCTCTGCGCCGAGCTTCACGCTGAACAACAGGAGATGGACCTGTTCGAAGAAAGACAACCAAGAAAGCAACAGCAGTTAGTCTTCTACACTCAACGAAGAAACGACAACACCTACAATCGATGCGGCAAGCAAGAACGCGACAACAGGGGACTTACCTTCGTGCCGCCGTTCTGCCACAACTGCCAGACTTCCGGGCACTCCAAGGTCAACTGCAACCGCCCTCGCGTTTACCGTCCAGCAGACCCACAAGTCGCTTCCACTCAAGCAAGTCCCCCAAGGCGCTCTTCAACATCTGCACAACAAACACCAAACATTATCAATTGCATGGTACACATCGACAACTGCGCATCCGGATCACCACCCACCTACACGCCAGACGAAGAAGAGCTGCCGCCACCGCGCTCACAAGGCCTTCAAGTCAATCCAACATATGCTGCGGTCGCCAACGCCGAACCCACCGGGCGAAACACCTGGTTCTTGGACAGCTGCTGCGGTCAACACATGTGCTCCTCGGGACGCTTCGTGCAACAGGAGAAACGCCTCAACCGCGACGTCGTCATCACCGTCACCAACAACGAAAACCTGAAGACAAACAGACAAGGCGTGGTTCAGTTACAATCCATGGAGACAAACGTCATACTTCAGCTCAACAAAGTGCTCATTGTCGACAATCTGGGATACAACCTACTAAGCGTAAGCCAACTAATGGCCAAGGGGATTCACCTGGAGTGCGACTCCTACTCCAACGAGTTTCGGCTTTACCACGGGAAGGGCGGCCTCTTCATCGGTCGTGCCCTCCTGAAGTCTGGCGTCTTTGTGTTGGACTTCGTCCCCGACCGCGGTACTGCCGACAGCAACGGTATCGTATCGTTCGCCGCCTGGACTCACCCGCCGGATCTTGATCCCGACTTCGACAGTGACGGCTTCTGGCACTCCAACACCATACGTGCAGCAGAGAGAACACGAGCATTAGCAGTTATCAGACAAGAAAGACAAGTACCCGCAAGTATCCCAACCAAACCATCACCTGCAGTATCGGCAGCAGGACCCAGCCGAGTCCCACCACCAGCGACCCGAGGACCGCCAACCGAAGCAGACCAGCTTATGCCCATCACACGAGAAGTTTGTCGAAGTCCCGCCTCAGTCGTCGCGTTCTTCTCCAACGCCGACATCTACCACCGCTCGCCCGGTCATCGCGCTTCCGATGACATCTGGCACCAACGTCTCGGACATCCTGCAAACAGCACGATACTACAAACAATCCAAGCAGAGGTGTTAGAACGCAACGCCCTTCTAACGACGAGCGGCCAAGAACTATGACGACCACGAGCACGGTGCTTCACGTGCCCCGAAGCAGATCTTCCTCATCAACCTTTCCCATCTCATCACAACCCAAGCGCACCTACTTACGCTCCGATGGAAAAAGTCTACAGCGATATTTTAAACATGCCTCGAGAAGACACCGAAGCCGACTTCAACTACGTCATCACGTTCATCGACGCAGCAACCAGATACGTTTGGCACTTCAATCTCAAAACGCGCGATCAAGCCTTCGAGGCCTTCACCACATGGCTTCCCATCGCCGAACGAGAATCAGGAACCAAGCTCAAAAGCTTCCAGTCAGACGGTGCACTGGAATACCAGTCACAACGCTTCAGGACCTATCTGGCGGAAAGAGGAATCCGACGCCTGGTGTCTCTGCCCTATGCTCACCAACAGCAGGGGGTAGCAGAACGCATGAACCGGACCTTGCAGACGACAATGCGAAAACTGCTTCTGGGGATGAGGCTGCCCACCACACTGTGGCCAGACGCGATGACACATACAGTTCACCTGCACAACCTGTCGTCCTCGTCATCACTTCCCAACAACGCATCACCGCATCTGTTGTGGACAAGAAAAAGGGGCAGCACAAAATTACTCCGAGTTTTCGGTTGCATGGTACAGTACAGACCCCACACAGCCCGAGCAGGACGCTTCACACAACGAGCTCGGTGGGGACTACACCTCGGCATCGCCAAACATTTTCACGCGTGGAAAATTCTCGACATACAAGACAAAAATACCGTGGCATCACGTGATGTTATTTTCTACGAGCGACTGACGCTGCAACATTACCTGGACAACATTGCCAACACACAAGACCCCACCGACGGCTTCTCGGGACTTCGTTCCTTCGCCGACCGTGCTGCCGAAGCTGACGCAGCAGAAGAAGACGTACCTGAAGCCTCGGAAGCTGCCGGACCACTCCCATTCTGTTCCGTACCTGTTCCACTCGACGAAGACAATCCTCTCGATAGCAACAACCTCGACACCTTTTACCACTTCGCTGACCAAGGTTACATTACACCCCACCCAGTCGACACAAATGTTTCAGAACGCATCGGTCCCAACTTCTTACCTGACCCAGAAGACGGTGACGAAGCAGCTTATTCCGGGAATGAAAATTCCCCTCGACACACACCCACGGGACTGCAGATTCTAGGCCTCTGGGTCTCCGTCCAGCATCCGCCGCCGCCTTCTCCGCGTGAGCCTTCGACCTTGTCGCAGGCTCTGGGGGGGGAACATAAGGCAAAATGGAAAGAAGCGATGGAAAAGGAGTTAAAGGCTCTGCAAGACCGAGAAACATGGAAACTGGTACCTGCAACAAGCATCAACGGGAAGAACGTCCTCTCGGGGAAATGGGTGTACCGCATCAAGACCAACTCAGACGGCTCCATCGAACGATTCAAAGCTCGATGGGTCGTACGAGGCTTCGATCAACGATACGGAACTGACTACACAGAAACCTTCGCTCCAGTCTCCCGTCACACCTCATTACGCATCCTACTCGCCGTCGCGGCCACGAAGACACTACCACTACGCCAAATCGACGTCGCCAATGCGTTCCTATACGCACCTGTGGACGCTGAGATTTTCGTCGAACAACCCCACGGATTCATCGACGACCCCACGAAAGTATGCCGACTGACAAAATCCCTATACGGGATCAAGCAAGCCCCGCGGCTCTGGCAGCAGCACCTTCACGGCCGTCTCGCAAAAATCGGATTCCTACAACTGCCGCATGACCAAGGGATGTACCGACTGCAGAAGGGAAGAGAGTATGTCCTACTCATCGTCTACGTCGACGACCTGCTCTACTTCGTCTCCACGCCGACGATCGGACTTACCTACAGCAAAGCGACAACACCGTCCGTACGACTACTCGGATACGTCGACGCCGACCACGCGGGAGATAGGGAAAATCGACGATCTAGGACGGGCTATATCTACCGACTAGAACCCATCGGAACTATCTCCTGGCAGTCGAGCAAGCAGGAGTTAATCGCACTATCCTCGGCTGAAGCAGAGTATATCGCCCTTTGTACCGCGACCAAGGAAGGACTCTACCTACGAGAGTTACTCGAGGAAGCGAAGATTGCGACCCTGCCCGCCTTCTCACTCCTCTGCGACAACCAATCTGCGATCAAAATCGCGAACAAGGACGGCTTCGCCAACCGAACCAAGCACATCGCCCTGCGGTACTTCTTCGTCAAGGATGAAATCGCGAAGGGGAGACTTCAACTCAGTTACTGCCCAACGACAGAAATGGCCGCAGATTATCTGACGAAGAAATTGGCGAAAGCAAAATTCGACTACTGCATGCTCCTGACCGGGCAAACAAACGTCACCGGATCTGAACACTCCAGCACTCCAGAAACGAAGGGGAGTGTTGGAAATATCTCAAAGGACTTGAGCGTTTCTGAAGTGTAACACTGTACTCGAGGAAGATTACAGGGGAGCACGCGAGTCAGCGGAGGTTACACGAGGGGGCGGACAAAGAATGTGAAAAGACTCGAAAGGTCGCAACTGGAGGTTGCGACTGACCGTTACAACATCACGGATGGTAACCGAAGCGGCAATCGAGTCGCTGTGCGACTCGATAAACCGTTCCTATAACTGTATTCTACAACTGCCTTCCTATCTTCTATATATTGCTGTATGCTTGTTTCTTCAATTAATCACTTGTTCTCACATACTAGTACAAGGGTTCAACTGCCTCAACCTCCGCTGCACTACTCAAAGTCTCAAAGTCTCTACAGCTGGGACTTAGTCTCTGCAAAAGATCCTAAGGGCTTTTCTCAGCCCAATACTCTCTAAGGCACAAACCTATACATTCTACAATAACATACTAAGATATGTTTTTTTTTTTTTTTTTTTTTTTTGTGCAGTTTCTGACTAACTGTGGAACCCGACTGATGACTCATGTTGCGAACTCGCTAATTCTGTTTTTTTTGTATCATGCCACTGACCGTACATGTTATCGGGGCCCCTAATACTTAGTGCCGGTATACTTTCCCTACACTTTTGATCTTGTGGACACCATTTTTCAGTGGAGTTCCAAATGATAGATTGGCCTGTTATTCTAGCAAGCGCGCTACATCGATTGTGTTTCTATCGAGCCAATCACCCCAGCCTCCCCAACTCCCCCTTCTTTCCCGCTTTCCCAACCAACCGCGATTGTTCCCCCCCCGATTCCCCGACTCCCTCTTTCCGCCTGTATCAGGAGCAAGCAACAGCCAACACCCCCGCTTGGTCGCTGGGTGGTCTGCTTGGTCGCCCAAGTAGTCGCCTTAAGTGGTCGCCTTAGTGGTCGCCTTAGTGGTCGCCCTGGGCGATTTGCCGTTTGCCCTATCACTTGTAGCAGGCCCACGCAGCCGTTCGCGTCGCCCCTCTTCGTTAGCAGACCCAAGCCTCTTCGTTAGCAGACTCAAACCTCTTCGTTAGCCAATAGATTCTTTCCAGCAAAGCAATATAGTATCCCAGACGCCATCGATTACCTCCTTGCTACCGCCGCAGCCAATTATGTCGCACCAGCAAGGCACGCCGCGCGCCTTGGCCACGCTTGCCGTTCCGGCCGCACCCCGCACAGCCGTTGGACGGCTTGGAGTGCCTTTTAGGCGTCCAGAAACCGACCGCCGTAGCTGCGCCAAGCATCACGCGCACCAGCGAGGCGCATCGTGCAGCGAGCATCGCGGCTGGTCCTGCTGATGCCAATGCCCGCAGGTCTCCCACGATTCACTTTCCGCCTTGACGCCGCTTGCGAGCCACCTTCCGCCATCCCCCCATGCACCTTCCCTTCAGCCCTCCCTTCACGCGATGCATTCCCCCCGCGCTCACTACATAAGCGGCAGCGTTGGATCAGTGGGGCATTCAGCCCAGCGAGCCAGCTTGAGGGGAAAGCTCTCCCTCCCATTGCCGTCGAGTGCCCCACCTGCCAGCTGCGCCATCCACGGGCGCACGCTGCTCACGCTGCTCCGCGCTCGCTGCGACTTCTCTCTCCCTGCTTCCCGCCGTCCGCACAACGCTCCTCTCGCCAGCCATGGCGAGCCAGCCCTCTTCCCTCGCGCTGCTGCTGCTCGCCCTCATCCTCTCCGCCACTGCTGCGACCGCGTACCGCCTTCCAGTGGCCGCAACTCCCGGCCCAGCCGGCGGTGCTCCAAGCCCGAGTCCCTCTGGCGTCGCCGCCACCACCGTCACCATCAACTCCGACGGCAGCCTGTCGTTCGGCCCGGGAGTCGTCCGGTACAATTTCCTGCGAAATGGCACAGTGGTTGACTCAACCGGCGCTACAGTCAAGCCCACTGCCAACGCTGATGGCTCCTTCACTGTTGGCGGCGTCTACACCAGCTATCCTAACGGCACGCTCACTGGCCCTGGCATTACCATCAACACTGGCCATAATCCCGGGGTTACCATGGGCTCGACGACGCTTTTGTTGAAGGGGGGGAAGATCCTGGATGCTGCGGGCCAGCCGATTCCGCCGACTGTGAATGACGACGGGTCGGTCACCGCAGGGGACATGACCGGGTGGAGCAACGGCACCATCAAGGGCGCCAACGGCGCCGTGCTGAACACAGGCTTGACGCTCAAACTCAACCCGGACGGAACAGTGGGTGTGGTCTTCACTCTCGCCCTCTACTTGGACGGCTCCATCAGCATCTCCGCCCGCGCCACTCCCGCTCCCATTCCCACTCCTACCACCAACCCCGGCCTGGGCGGCAGCCCCAGCCCCCCTGCTCCCAGCGCCAGCAGCACCGTTCTCACCATCAACGCCGACGGCAGCCTGTCGTTCGGCCCGGGCGTCGCGCAGTACACTCTCCAGCGGAACGGCACAGTGGTTGACTCTACTGGCGCTCCAGTCACTCCCACTGCCAACCCTGATGGTTCCTACACTGTTGACGGCGTTTACACCGGCTATCCTAACGGCACACTCGCTGGTCCCGGCATTGCAATCCACACTGGCGACAACCCCGGGTTTACCATCGGAACGACAACCCTTTTGTTGAAGGGGGGAAAGATCCTGGATAAGGCGGGGCAGCCGATTGAGCCTACTGTGAATGAGGACGGGTCGGTCACTGCAGGGGACATGACTGGGTGGAGCAACGGCACGATTGTGGGGTCCAACGGCGCAGTGCTGAACACGGGCATGCAGCTCACCATGAACTCCAAGGGGGTCATCGGCGTCATTGTCTCCCTCGGTGGAAACTCCGATGGCTCCATCAGAATCGCCTCCCCTCAGGCCACTCCGTCCTCCCCTACTCCCACTCCTGGGTCTCCCACTCCATCTACTCCCTCTCCCACCCCCTCCGGCCCCAAAGGCGCCACCACCCTCACATTCAACCCCGACGGCAGCCTGACTTTTGACCAGTACACTCTGAAGCCGGACGGCTCGGTTGTGGACTCCACTGGGGCAGCGGTCCCTGTCACTACCAACTCTGACGGGTCACACACCGTTGCCGGCCTTTACACCGCCTACACCAACGGCACGCTCACTGCTCCTGGCATTACCATCACCACTGGTGCCTCTGGCAAATCTATTACCATTGGGAAAACGACGCTTCTGGCGGACGGGACGATCCTGGACGCTGCCACGGGAACGCCGATTCAGCCGAAAGTCAACGCGGCGGACAAGTCGGTCACTGCAGGCGACTTGACTGGGTGGGAGAATGGCACCATCGTGGGGTCCAACGGCGCGGTGGTGCACAGCGGCCTCCGGCTCACTCTCAACGCTGATGGCACCATCTCTGCTGCCCCTGCCTCTCCCAGCCCCTCTCCTCCCTCTCCTCCCTCCTCCACTGCCCCACCGCCACCCAGGCCTGCTGGTACGTCGCTGCTGCTGTGCTTCTGCCGTGCCTCTGCTGTGCCTCTGCTGCGCTTCTGCTATGCGTCTGCTGTGCTTCTGCTGTGCTTCTGCAGCGCTTCACTTGTCCTGCTGGATCCTGTGTCTGCTGCCCTTTCTTTCAGCTTCCTCTCCTCGCTTTCTCCTTTGGCCTCACTCTGTTTATCACAAAACCTCCCCTGCCCTCCCCCCCCCCCCCCCCCCCCCCCCCCCTTCGTTTTTCCACTCTTCTGCATCCTCTTCCTTTTCTCTGGTTCCCCTCCGTGGAAATGGCTTGCTAAACATTTTCTGATTCTACCTCCCTTATCCACCCGTTCCCCGCATTTGCAGGATCACTTGCCTCCCCGGCCACTGCCCTCACTGCTGTCATCACTGTGGCCCTCGGCCTGCTGCTCATATAGAACAGAGGGGGTTCTTTAGACGCCTCAACACTAGGTTCAACGCCAGGGGATGGCCAGGGCAGTGTAAAACAGTGGACTTTGTTGAAATGAGAAGTGGAAATCTGTGGGAAGACCCACCGAGTAGTTTGTTTTTGCACAGTAGAGCAGGGATGTGCTACGAAAGAAATTGATTTCCGTAGTGTTCCAAAATCAAGAATCGGTCTCCACCAGAACAAGCCACGTACAAGTTACAGGAGCTGCACAATGAGAGCGGCAGTGCACTACAGCTCCAGCAATCCAAACCCCCAAGTCAAAAATCCTGCATGGCTTGTTAGAATACTAGAATATGCTACCTAGGTAGTAGATGTTGAACTTGTTGGAAATACCTCAAGGACTTTTGAAGTGTAACATCACATTCGAGGAAGATCGTAACGGGTACGCGAGTCAACGGAAGTTACACGAGGGGTAAGACAAAGAACCCGAAAGGACTCGAAGAGTTGCAACCGGAGGTTGCGACCAACCGTTACAACTGCAAGGATGGTAACCGAAGCGACAATCTAGTCGCTGTGCGACTCGATAACCGCTCTTCAACTGTATTCTACAACTGCTTTACTTTTCTACTTTCTATATATTGCTGTATGCTTGTTCTTTTAATCAATCACTTGTTCTCACATACTGATACTAGTACAAGGGTTCCAACTACTTCAACTTCCGCTGCACTGCTCAAGCACTTCTTACAACTGGGACTTGGTCTCTGAAAGATCCTAAGGGCTTTTCTCAGCCCCAACATGGTATGAGAGCTGGTCAGAGACCAAACTCCCAGCAACTACGCTCTATCTACAATCAGCACACCAACGACTTCATTGATTACAAGTCATGGACAGCAAAGGCAAGAAAACCTCTACGGGCTCACCCAGTGCCCAAGACACTCAACCCGGCAACTCTGGACTGCACACTTCAGGACTGCAAACCGAGACCAGCGCTGCTCAAGAAACAATAGGAAGAGCACCAGAAATGGTGACCCCATCACCATCTTCAAGCGTGGACCCGAACCTTATGGAAAGGTTCTTCAGCTTCATGTCTCACTTCGACCAGCAGCAGCAGACAAGGACACCTGCGCATTCAACACAGAGCAATGGAGGAAACATGGGATTAGCGCCGATGAGCCTCGACAACTCATCGTTCGGGCGACATAATCAAACGCCTACCTTTGCGCCTTATCACTCTTCACCGGGGACGTTCGAGTTCATGCCGCCCCGTGCCCAACCAACAGCAGCTGCATCACAACAGACACCAAACGAGATTTTAAGTCTCCAGGCGCAGTTTTCACACGTGATTAAACTACAGACATCCTCACCATTCAACGGACACGATTTCTTTACCTAGAGCTTTGATTTCGAGCTGCTGATGGAGGCTGCGCATCTCTTGGGATACTTCAACGGGTCCCTGCCATTCCCAAGCAACGACACTGCAAAAGAACAAGAAATCTTCACGTATCAGTCGCTGCTGGCGTACACAGTTCTCCTACGGAATCTGTCACCACAAGAACAGCAAAGCATCAGAACGTATCGGAGCTACGGAAACTCTGCGGAACTCGCATGGCATCACCTCAAGTGCCTCTATCAAGCAAACGACAGCGTGACACAAAGCAGACTCATGCAGCAGCTGACGACAATACACATGAAGACCGGGGAAAAGGCGATGCAGTATATGAGTCGATGCCAGGCACTCCGCGACCGCCTGCTTCGGTGCGGAGGAACAATCACTGAAGAAAGCTTCATGACGCTTGTCCTCGCTGGGCTCGGGCCAGAATGGAGAACCACCCGCTCGCTCCTTCGCGCCCACGGACGAATCTCGGAGATGCACCTCTGCGCCGAGCTCCATACTGAACAACAGGAGATGGACCTGTTTGAAGAAAGACAACCAAGGAAACAACAACCATTAGTATTCTACACTCAACGAAGGCACGACAACAACTACAACCAACGCGGCAGGCAAGATCAACGCGACAACTGAGGACTCACCATTGTGCCGCCGTTCTGCCACAATTGCCAAACATCCGGACACTCCAAAGTCAACTGCACACGTCCCCGAGCTTATCGTCCAGTAGACCCACAAGTCGCTTCCACTCAAGAAAGCCCGCCGAGGCGCTTTTCCACATCTGCACAAGGTACACCGAACATCATCAACTGCATGGTACACATCGACAACTGCGCACCCGGATCATCGCCCACTTACGCTCCCGATGAAGAAGAACTGTCGCCGCCGCGCTCACAAGGACTTCAGGTCAACCCAACGTACGCTGCAGTCGCCAACTCCGAACCCACCGGACGAAACACTTGGTTCTTGGACAGCTGCTGTGGCCAACACATGTGTTCTTCCGGGCGCTTCGTGCAACGAGAACGACGTCTGAACCGAGATGTCATAATCACCGTCGCCAACAACGAGAACCTGAAAACAAACAGACAAGGAGTGGTTGAGTTATAGTCCATGGAGACAAACGTTATACTGCAACTCAACAAAGTTCTCATCGTCGACAACTTGGGATACAACTTACTCAGCGTCAGCCAGTTAATGGCAAAAGGGATTCACCTGGAGTGCGACTCGGACTCCAACGAATTTCGCCTATACCACGGGAAGGGCGGTCTCTTCATCGGTCGCGCTCTACTGAAGTCCGGCGTCTTCGTGTTGGACTTCGTCCCCGACCGCGGTACCGCCGACAGCGATGGCATCGTGTCATTCGCCGCATGGACGCATCCGCCGGATCTTGACCCCGACTTCAACCAAGATGGATACTGGTACTCCAACACCATACCTGCAGTAGAGCGAACACGGGCGTTAGCAGTCATTCGATAAGAAAGACAAGTACCGGCAAGCGTCTCTTTCTCGACATCACCTGAAATCACAGCAGTGGGACCCAGCCGATTATCATCACCAGCAATCCGAGGACCGCCAACCGAAGCAGTTCAACTTATGCCCATCACACGCGAAGTCTGCCGAAGTCCCGCCACCGTCGTCGCGCTCTTCTCCAACACCAACATGTATCACCGCTCGCCCGGCCATCAAGCTCCCGACGACATCTGGCACCAACGCCTTGGGCATCCTGCAAACAGCACGGTACTACAAACCATCCAAGCCGAAGTGTTAGAACGAAACGCTCTCCTTACAACAAGCGGACAAGAACTTCGACAACCTCGCGCACGGTGCTTCACATGCCCCGAAGCAGATCTTCCACACCAACCTTTTCCGTCACATCACAATCCAAGCGCACTTGCATACGCACCGATGGAAAAGGTTTACAGCGACATCTTAAACATGCCTCGAGACGACACTGAAGCCGACTTCAACTATGTCATCACGTTCATCGATGCAGCAACAAGATATGTTTGGCACTACAACCTCAAGATGAGAGATCAAGCTTTCGAAGCCTTCACGACGTGGCTCCCCATCGCTGAACGAGAATCAGGAACTAAGCTCAAAAGCTTCCAATTAGACGGCGCACTGGAATACCAGTCACAACGATTCAGGACATACTTGGCGGAAAGAGGAATCAGACGCCTGGTGTCTCTGCCCTACGCTCACCAGCAGCAAGGGGTCGCAGAAAGAATGAACCGGACCTTGCAGACGACGATGCGAAAGCTGCTCCTGGGGATGAGACTGCCCAACACACTGTGGCCAGACGCGATGACACATGCAGTCCACCTGCACAATCTGTTGTCCTCATCCTCGCTTCCCAACAACGCATCACCGCACCTGCTGTGGACAAGAAAAAGGGGCAGCACAAAATTACATCGAGTTTTCGGCTGCATGGTACTGTACAGACCCCACACAGCCCGAGCAGGACGCTTCACTCAACGAGCACGGTGGGGACTACACCTCGGCATCGCCAAACATTTTCAAGCATGGAAAATCCTCGACATACAAGACAAAAATACCGTGGCATCACGTGATGTTATTTTCTACGAGCGTCTGACGCTGCAGCATTACCTGGACAACATTGCCAACACAGACGACCCCACCGACGGCCTCGCGGGCCTTCGCTCCTTCGCCGACCGTGTTGCCGAAGCTGACACAACAGAAGAAGACGTACCTGGAGCTTTGGAAGCTGCCGGACCACTCCCTTACTGTTCCGTACCTGTTCCACTCGACGAAGACAATCCTCTCGATAGCAACAACCTTGACACCCTCTACCACTTCGCTGATCAAGGTTACGTTACACCTCACCCGGTCGACACGAATATCTCAGAACGCATCGGCCCCAACTTCTTACCTGATCCAGAAGATGGTGATGAAGCAGCCTATTCCGGGAATGAAAATTCCCCTCGACACACACCCACGGGACTGCAGATACTCGGCTTATGGGTCTCCGTCCAGCACCCGCCGCCGCCATCTCCGCGCGAGCCAACGACTCTGTCGCAGGCTCTGGGGGGGGAACATAAGGCGAAATGGAAGGAGGCACTGGAAAAGGAACTGAAAGCTCTGCAAGACCGAAATACATGGAAGCTGGTACCTGCAACGAACATCAACGGGAAGAACGTTCTCTTGGGAAAATGGGTGTACCGCATCAAGACCAATGCGGACGGCTCCATCGAACAATTTAAGGCTCGCTGGTCGTACGAGGATTTGATCAACGATACGGAACCGACTACACAGAAACATTCGCCCCAGTCTCTCGTCGCACCTCCTTGCGCATCCTATTCGCCGTCGCGGCCACGAAGAAACTACCACTGCGCCAGATCGACGTCGCAAATGCCTTCCTGTACGAACCTGTGGACGCCGAGATCTTCGTCGAGCAGCCCCACGGATTCATCGACGACCCCACAAAAGTATGCCAGCTGATAAAATCCCTTTACGGGATCAAGCAAGCCCCGCGGCTTTGGCAGCAGCATCTTCATGATCGCCTCGTCAGAATCGGATTCCTACAGCTGCCGCACGACCAAGGCATGTACCGACTACAGAAGGGAGGGGAATATATCCTACTTGTCACAGGATCGAATGTGTCGAGGAAAGGTTGCACTATCGATCAGTACAAGGCGCTTTTATACTTCCAGAGTACATCAGGTAACCAGGTTTATCTTATCCAAAGGGAATAGACCCTTCTAGAAGATAGAATCACCCTGCGTATAGCCACGCGAGGCTATTGGCTTTAAGGGATTACAGTAGGATTACGCTAGATAGAGCGCACCAATACATCCCAAGCC